GGAATGGCTGCATGATGTTGCAAGGGCTCTGTTTTGGGGAGGAAACCGGAGCACGAAACCTTGTGTTTTTCCTTTGTCTTTTGCAGCTGAAGATTGTAAATCGTATTGGAATGGCTGCATCAAGGCTGCGATAGTCATTTGTCAGCAGATTTTCCCAATTTTGGCGTTGATAATTTTCCTTTTAAACTTTTCTTTTAAAAAGTAAAGTGCTTCAAAATCGTATTTTTTCACTTTGGCGTCGAGATCCGGTTTTGGAGCTGCAATTTCCGATGCCATTGCACGTAGTTCTATTGTGTTTTGCAACTCAGTCTCTGCAGATCGCATTGTAGTGGCTGCGTCAAGGTTGCTTGGCGCAGCGGCTGCATGCGTAATACTATTGTCTTTTGCAGCTGAAGATCATAAATCGTATTGGAATGGCTGCATCAAGGCTGCGAAAGTGATTTGTCAGCAGATTTTCCCAATTTTGGCGTTGATAATTTTCCTTTTAAAATTCCTTTTAAAAAGTGCTTCAAAATCGTCTTTTTGTCGCTTTGGCGTCGAGATCCAGTTTTGGAGCTGCAATTTCCGACGCCATTGCACGTAATTCTATTGTGCTTTGCAACTCAGTCTCTGCAGATCGCATTGTAGTGGCTGCGTCAAGGTTGCTTGGTGCAGCGGCTGCATGCGTAATACTATTGTCTTTTGCAGCTGAAGATCGTAAATCGTATTGGAATGGCTGCATCAAGGCTGCGAAAATGATTTGTCAGCAGATTTTCCCAATTTTGGCGTTGATAATTTTCCTTTTAAAATTGCTTTTAAAAAGTGCTTCAAAATCGTCTTTTTGTCGCTTTGGCGTCGAGATCCAGTTTTGGAGCTGCAATTTCCGATGCCGTTGCGCTTAGTTCTATTGTGATTTGCAACTCAGTCTCTGCAGATCGCATTGGAGTGGCTGCCTCAAGGTTGCTTGTCGCCGCGGCTGCATGCGTAATACTATTGTCTTTTGCAGCTGAAGATTGTAAATCGTATTGGAGTGGCTGCATCCAGGCTGCGATAGTCATTTGTCAGCAGATTTTCGCAATTTTGACGCTAGCAATTTTCCTTTTAAAATTCCTTTTAAAAAATGCTTCAGAATCGTCTTTTTTCTGCTTTGGCGTCGAGATCCGGTTTTGGAGCTGCAATTTCCGATGCCGTTGCGCTTAGTTCTATTGTGATTTGCAACTCAGTCTCTGCAGATCGCATTGGAGTGGCTGCCTCAAGGTTGCTTGCCGCCGCGGCTGCATGCGTAATACTATTGTCTTTTGCAGCTGAAGATTGTAAATCGTATTGGAGTGGCTGCATCCAGGCTGCGATAGTCATTTGTCAGCAGATTTCGCAATTTTGGCGCTAGTAATTTTCCTTTTAAAATCCCTTTTAAAAATGCTTCAAAATCGTCTTTTTTCTGCTTTGGCGTCGAGATCCGGTTTTGGAGCTGCAATTCCTGTGTGGAAAAGTTTGTGTGTAAACGCTTGCCATGTGTAAAAGCACTGTGTGCAAGTACTGTGTGTAAGTGTTCTGTGTCTAAACGCTTGCTGTGTGTGAAAGCTTGCTGTGTGTAAAAGATGTTGCGTGTAAAAGTTTGCTGTGTGTAAAAGCTTATCTGCGCATGTGTGAAAAGTGTCTCTGTGTAAAAGCTTTTTTTTGTGCGTGTGTAAACGCTTGCCATGTGTAAAAGCACTGTGTGTAAGTGTTCTGTGTAAACGCTTGCCATGTGTAAAAGCACTGTGTGCAAGTACTGTGTGTAAACGCTTGCTGTGTGTGAAAGCTTGCCATGTGTAAAAGTTTGCTGTGTGTAAAAGCTTCTCTGTGTAAAAGTTTCTGTGTGTGTGTGTAAGCGCTTGCCATGTGTAAAAGCACTGTGTGTAAGTGTTCTGTGTGTAAATGCTTGCTGTGTGTGAAAGCTTGCTGTGTGTAAAAGCTTCTCTGTGGAGTGAAGAAGTGTGGGGAGTGTGAAGAAAGCAATGAGAAGTGTGAAGTGTGGACTGTGACGTGTAAAGTGTGAAGTATGAAGTGTGGAGTCTGAAGAAAGCAGTGAGAAGTGTGAAGCGTGGAGTGTAGAGTGTGGAGTGTGAAGTGTGGAGTGAGAAGTGAGAAGTGTGAAGTGTGAAGTTTGGAGTGCGAAGAGTGCAGTGTGAAGTGTGAAGTGTGGAGTGCGAAGAGTGCAGTGCGAAGTGTGAAGTGTGGAGTGTGAAGCGTGAAGTGTGGAGTGTGAAGAGTGCAGTGAGAAGTGTGAATTGCGAAGTGGAGCTTCAAATGTGACATGTGCAACAGGACATCACTTTCGCAGAATGCACGCACGAACGGGCTTGGCTGGCGCACGGCGCATGCAAGTTCTATAGATGAGAAAGGTCTATATATATATCTTTAAGGCAACTTCCGCCCCGCCTCGTGCGGGTACTACTGGTAGATATATAGTATACTATTATCATATGGGCACATACCACTTTCCATAATATAAATATATACTTTCTTATTGTTTTTCCCCACATTATTGTGAACGGCTCACATCTCCAACAGTTCCCAACTCTCGTGTCACCTGATGCCCGCGCGGCATCTTCCACTGCATCGACCTATAGCCACGGGCGCCGGCCCCGTTGCTTGGTTTCACGGTAAAACACCTAGGGGAAATCGAGGGAAATGGCTGATTTGAGACGGTTTTTTTTGTAGATTTTCCGAGTTGAGTTGGTTTATAAACTATGCAAATTGCGGTTCAAGCCTCCTGAAAAATATGAAAGTCTGATTGGGATCATTATTCCCAACTATTGGGGAAAAACATGTTCCAAATCACCAACCAGTGGTTTATAAACAATGGATAAACCACGGAAAATCTTGGGAAGCCGTCTATAGATTGAGGTTTTTGTTGGGGATAACAAGTTATATAATACGACTAGTCTGGGCTGATCATGGTTGATGACCATTATAATTCATGTTTGATAATGGTTAGTGCATCTTCATACAATGAGCAATTTGACCCACCCCCAGTTACGTTTGTTGCTTTACACATCCATTCTTCCATAGATATACCCATTCATGCCATACATTCTAGTTAGGAATGTTACTAACCAACTTTGCTCAGTAAAGGGTCTCACATTCTATACACCTAAATCGGTTGATTTCGGTTGGCAAAAAAAACGTATCCAGTTTTTGTTGGTTTTATACACAATCTTTGTATATCTTTGTCATATTCCGGTGTGCTTCCGTTCCCTTCCCATGTGTAGATTGGATTCGGATGAACATTACCTACTGCCATATACTGGATGTATTTTGATGTATTTTGGCTGGCTTTGACCCGCAGCTGTTTGATGTTATCTAAACGAAGAATCCAAGGAAAGTGTCTGGCACTTCCCAGGTGTGCAATCGTTGCTAGTGTTGCGAGCCCCAAAATCAAAACCAGTCTATGATCATCTTCCAAAGGGTGAGAGATCTTCACTCGACATTCATGTTCAAGCCTAAACTGTTCATCTTCAGCATTCCCCTAAAAATATCTAGATCTTTTCACGCACATGGATAATTAAGAAGGATTGGAACACACCTGAAACCATCCAATGCTCGGATCCTCCAACGGATCCTCCGTAACTTTTCTGGCCAGATTGATCCGCCACGGCTCTCTCCGCGTAGCTATCACTAGCTATCACTAGCTGTCCATTGAGACACTTACGGACGTCTTGGCGAGGCAAAGGAACAAAGCGCTGCTGCTTTTCATAGCTATTCAAACTTCAACCAATCAGCACCTACCTGGAAAGCCTATGATAATCTATGATAGCATGTTTAACCTCATGATTACCCTCTGGTAAACTAACATAGCTATGGAAAATCACCATTTTTAATGGGTAAATCCACTATAAATGGCCATTTTCAATAGCTATGTTAAATTACCAGAGGGTACCCCAGCGACACCTGTGACCAGTCTCAAGAATATGTCACATCTGGTCATCTGATTTCACTAAATGGAGGTCAGCTACCCTCTGGTAATTTAACCGTTTGCTATAGAAAATCACCATCTTTAAGAACGGTAAATCAACTATTTCTATGGGCCATCATTTTCCATAGCTATGTAACAAATTACCAGAGGCTATTCAGCCATCCCATCCCTGTTCCTCGACCGCATTCAGCCTACCATAACTAAAATTGAGATACATTGAGCACAAGATCAAGCATCCAAGTATCCAGGATTCACAAACCTCTGAAATTTGGAAAAATCTATATATATGTTTTGATGCTAAAGCCATTGGTTTTCTTGGTTATATCCGATTGACGCCACTCATTAGTCAATATGTAGTGTATCGTAATATATTCACGTACAGTGCCTGCCTGATCGTGTCGACGTTCCTTTGTTGCTTCGAATTCCGAATTGGTCGTGGCAAATGCTGAACTGCAATGTCGCAATTTGCCACGACAAGGGGCTACATATGAAGCTGGATTTGTAAGGTTGGGGCCCTGGCAATGATCTATCCGAATAAGGTTTAAGCAAAACATTGGTATCTCAATTATTCGAATCAACATGGGAGAGAACCAAGATTGCATCATTGTGCATGGATCTTTGGGCTAAATTGGGAACAACAAAAAGCTCAAGTGGCGACCGACGTCGCCAATGGCCCATGTAAGCGATACCTCTGATGCCCAGGCTCTCTATAGCTCCGAACCCAATCCCTTCCACCAATCAAAAAACAACCAGAAACCATAGTAGATGTAGTGAAATTGCCATTAAAGGTCCCAAAAAACAGCCAGAAACCAAATTACACATGTTTGGGGTCCATTTTTGGGACCTTTATATAATGGGAACAATGGGATGAATGGATCAATTCCCACTGGGGAAAGAAACACAGACTTGGTTCAAGATTTGCTGCGAAGGTATTCAATCAATAGTGCTTCGGGGTTGTTTTGGGATCCATATGAATAGGTAACTATATAACAATGTGTATAATATTGTTCGTCTAATTTATATTAGTTGATTGTGTGGTAAATCCATAGTCGGCCCCCAAAACACTAAATCAACCAAAAAAACAAAAAAAACTCGAAGTCAAGAAATTGTTCATTTCCTCATGTAGCCCCATGCCAGCTTCTTTTAACTGGCCATCAACGATGATTCGGGTCATCTTGGCCCAGCAGCCCAGCATCAAGGGCCGGGCGCGTGCGCGCCTTGCGCTAGGGGCGCTTGTAGATGGTTTGCAGGGTTGATGCCAAAGCTCATCCTGTGCGCATTGCTTTGTGTCAGACTTTGGTGACTCTGGGTTGTATAGATATGATACTGAAACAAGTCAATGTAGATCAGCCAGATATTGCAGTAGCAAATGTTGATATTCAAAGATGTAAGAAGAAGAGGAACAAGAATAAGAATATTGGCCAGTCTTAATCAGTCACCCACCATTGGGACCCCTGCTGTGTGTCCTACTATGACCCATACCCATGTGGCTAGATAGATAGATAGATAGATCGATAGATAGATATATATATATATATACATATAACATCAAAAATCATTGGCACAAGACCAACATTTCAACATCATTGAACCCTGTAGATCAACACATGTTTGACGTTGTCTATACCTAGGTCCTAGGTCACACATGCATAGTTGAATCAACTTCTCGAAATGATGCCCATATTAATCTATCAGCTGTAGCGCCACTTTCGCTGTCAATGCCAAGGGTCAACAAACAAAGCACGCCCATCAGCAAGTTCCACAGCCCCGCGATGAAGGTCAAACACAGAAAACACCTAAGGGAAGATGCATTGCTGCATCTGTGGCATTGGAAAGCGACTTGACTCACCAATGACAAAGGGCTGATGGTGGTTGGCTATCCCCCCAGAAACAACTGGAGACTATGCCCATGTGACTGACACTGTTCTACGTCAATGGCAGGAGGCCAATTTTAAATTGCTTCACACGAATGCAAAAAACTAGGAAACTACAACTTCTGCTGGGCAGCAATCATACGGTGGATGGAAGAAATCCTGCACCAGTTGATAGGTGGTTTAGGTTTATCCCATTATTTATAGGGTTTCAACCATCCAAGGTGATGCAGGATTTCTTCCATCCACAGTATGTCCCGTGCAACTCCTACTGCCTACACTGGACCAACAGGACTTCTTAGTCTAATCATTCCATCAGGATATAACCAATCTCCTGTGAAACATCCGGACAGGCACTCAAACAGCCTGACACCTTTCCACCTTGCATATAATATATATGAGCGATTGTGAAAACCCTAGGTTCACGGAAAGGACATTCACAAATTTGGGAAGGTCCCATCGCTTACCACACGTTTGTACAATAATGATATATGGTAAACTTGGGGGGTATCGCTTGCAGGAAACTGCTGTATTTATATAATATATGATGAACTATGAATAATATGTGATCTTTGGGCATCGCTAATGTGGATATTAGAGAAATATGATGACATAACCTTGAAAAGGGGTATCGCTAATTTGGGAAGGTCCCATCGCTTACCTCGTGTTTTTAACAATTTCCATCAATTTCCATAAGCCAATGTCCGTCGAATACATATTTAGTATTGCCGGGGTTTTTACGGTTGCTCATATATATATATATATATGTATGTATGTATGTATGTATGTGTATGTATGTGTATGTATATGTATATGTATATGTATATGTATATGTATACGTATATGTATATGCATATGTATATGTATAGTATAGATATCATATCTTGTCTTTTTCAGTGCCTATCACCTTTTCTATATATTTTTCTGCATCACACTGACTGGAGATCCCCCTATGACAAGCCAAGCCACTGTGTCACTGCAAGTGTTCCAATGAACCTCGTTCTCGTTGCCGTTTGGGGGACAAATGGAGCAGCTGCTGCTAGATTTCCACCCCAATTTGGATGTTTCATCCAACCTCATAGAATAATCAACAAATCTGCGGGTGTCGACACCAAGGGACACATAGAAGAAGCCTCGACCCCTGAGCTCTGTGAGAAAGTTCGCTCGGTTGAAGACTTCCAGCTGATATCCTGGGGCACGGTGATCCCCCCAACCTTCGATGAAATGAACAGCCCTTAGTGGTTGGTGGTAGACAAAAAGTCCTTGAGAAGGGGTCACCCTGGAAGGCGGCTCCAATTTGTCTCCGATGATCTTCAAATGTTAGAGCTATACGATGCGGTGCCTCACATTTTTGTTGCTTACAACCCCCATTGACTATATCTACGATTATCTACCATAAATCCAGATATTATTCATATATATGATATATATGGAGGTTTCCTGAAATAGGGGTACCCCCAAATCATTCATTTCAATGGTATTTTCCATTATAAACAATCCATTGGGGGTACCCACATTTATGGGAAGCTCCATATATTCATCCTAGCTAACCAAGTTATAAAGCAACTAACTCAGCAGCTCAGCAAGCATCCTGAGCCCGTCCGCCCGTCCCAACACGGTCGACCGAGGAACGCTCCACCCAGGGAGATAAGCGGCCCAAGACTTTCATCTGTCGAAGGCTCTCGACATCTGCCTGTCAGGCTGTCAGGCACCAGCCGACACTCATGGCCATGCAAAAATGCCCATTGTTGCAGCTGGTACAGTTATGGTCATTTACTAGTTGTAACTGCTTGTTTCTATGGGATACAAAACATTCCATTACATTCTACAAAAGGGGTGACTTAGTACTTATAACTGGTATTTCGGGCCATAACTGTAAATACAAAGGTCTCCCGGGAAAAGTCGCGTCGGAAACTGCACGTAAACACGACAGATGTGTCCGATTCCAAAGGTCAGTCGTAGCGTCATAACAGGGTCAAAGAGATAAAGAACACATGCGATGGATCTGGGTAAATTGTAGTAAGTCACTACCCTGAAACTTGTAGCCATTCGGGGATTCACCGAATCCAATTCCCATCATTCCAGGGTTCGCGAGAAGGGTTCGGTCGCCTTTATAAGATCTTCTCCCATTATATCCCATTGATATTCCCATTATACTAGCATTTATGGTAAACAAACATGGCCATAGCCATTGAAAATGGCCATTTATAGTGGATTTACCGGATTTACCCATTAAAAATGGTGATTTTCCACAGTTATGTTAGTTTACCAGAGGGTGGCATTTATAGTTCTAAATCATTCTAAATCAACATTGTTTCCTATGGTTTCCTATGGTTTCCAGCCGCATCCGCTGCGACTCATTTTCGGCCATGGACTACTTGACGCAAGCCGCCTCCAAAAGGAAGGTGACAACTCCAAAAGTCAAAAGGTAGGCATTCCTCGCCGCACGCCACTCCGGGATGAAGAAAGAGTCGACTAACACAGGGATGAACACGATGCCCCATGGCCCCATGGTGGGAGATTTACCAACATTTATCCAACAAAAATCCAAAATCTCCCTAAAATGTGGGCCACTATAGTCACTATATGGAGCATATGGGATATGCTCCCGCGATCAACGCGGTTTTCGACTGGCATCCCATCCCATCTCCAGTGCTTCGCATGCCAAGTCTCAAAACATACTGAAAGGGAGATGTCAGGCCTGTCGGTGGAAAGATTGGCTATCATCCACTGGGGGAAACGTGGACACCACGTTATGAGATTCCCTCACTGCCATCCAGGGGATGATTTGCGAAATCGATGGCGCCCCGCACAACCAGGTATCACTGGTTGGTGGTATACCTACCATCTTGAAAAATATGAAAGTCAATGGGAAGGATTGTCCCATATATGAAATGGAAAAAATTGTTTGAAACCAGCAATCAAATCATTATTTGACAATAGGGAGAGTGCATCGTGCATGGCGGATGGTGAGCCAACATCTGCCACTTATCAGTTGCCTAGGTGAGATGGACTTCCAGCGCTGATCATGAAGAAATGCGGGCTTCCATAAATGGGGATACCCCAATAGCTGGATGGTTTACAAGTGAAAATCCTATTAAAATGGATGATTTAGGGGTACCCCGACCTCCAAATAACTGATCGCCTACCTACTTTGATGACATGTCTGGTTGCTTCCCAGCTTTCCTGCGAAGTTCTTTCAACTTCTGCTACATACATACCCATATGCTCCATGTATGGAATATTTACCAACATTTACCCAAAAAATCACCCAAATGTAGGTAAATATACCATACATGGAGCATATGGGATATGAATTACCGTTATCCCCTAAATGGTCCAAGGGAATGGCTGGCGAGATCTTTAAGTCATTCCAAAGTGGAAAATCATGATGCAGGGATCAAATGCCCCATTTCCTCACCACAAATGGATCGAAGTAGTCACTACTAATGCCAATAAGCTGACACTATACATGATAGTTCTGGAGTTCTGGATTGTTTTTTTTTTAACTCTTCTCTGTACTATTAAATGACCGCATTAAAAACCGTTGTTAAGTATTGGATCAATTGGATGTATTGGTTTGGGGGCCATTTGGGTTGGATTTTCATGTACTTAATCAATCTTAATCAGGTAATCCCTTCCCTCTAGTCATTAGGGGGAAGAGATTGCCTCATCACCTGCTCTACGGCAGCATTTCCCCATCGCCGCGCCGTTGCCAAAATTCAGCAAACCCAAAAAGCCGATGAGGGTCGTCGCAAGGCCGCCTGCGTCGCGACGGAGCCAATTTCATCCAAAATTTCAGGACTCTAAAACTGATGTGCTGTACCATTTAAGGCCACATTTTGCGGGGATATGCCCTTACATAGATAGGCCTTGCATAGGCATAGATCGCAGGTACCTCCAATTTAGGATCCTGAAATGGTCATTGAATTAATTGAATATAAGGGTTTCCTAAAACGGAGGTACCCCAAAATGGATGGTTTATAATGGAACATCCGAAACAAAATGGCTGATTTGGGGGTACCGGGTACCGCTATTTCAGGAAACTTTCAAGCTGGCTCTGAGTCAAAATGCTGGTACCCCAGTGAACATCAAATCAGCTGCTGTAAATTCATGTTCATTCCCTCCAAATATTGCAGATAAATTAGAACAAATTTCGAGCCTCTAAAATAAAATAAGTTCATTTTTGGAAGGTTCTATATACTACCCATCATCTGCAAGGATGTCGCGGTGAGGTGCGTATAGTAATTATAATTCATCCACATTTTGCCATTGTGTTGCCCATTATGTCACCATACCACCATATAAATACAAATAATTACACAAATAGGAACGAACAATTCCACAAAACCTTAATATCAACATTACATAACTGATATATTTCTATATTGGATAGGTATATTTCTATATTAGATAGATATACATGTTATGTACAATCATGTGCATCTGTGCTTCAGGCATCCTCCAGGCCTAGGAAGCAAAGCACCGAGATGCCCGCAGGGCCTTCCTGGATGTATTTCCCCAACTCCTGACAGAAGGGGTACAAGGTTTTGACCCATCCCATATGCCAATATTATTCTAGAAATATGATAGATGTGAATTGGATTGAATGGGAAACTGCTGGAAAGATCATGAGAAAGTCCTCATATGCCAATATTCGAAAAAAATGTAGATGTAAGAATTGGATGGAAAATCATGGGAACATCATAAGAAAATCTGCTATAATTATATATCTATTGTTTGTTTTTGTTTTTTCTCCGCCACTATCTATATTTGGTATAGAATGGGGATATCAACGGGGATATCATGGGGATATAAACCAACAGATCCGGCTGGAATTCTGGCTATGCAGCTGTGGATTTGGTGGAAACAAGGTGTAGCCCCCGTTTAACGAAATCGCTAAATTGGTTCCTAGGAGAACCATGGTTTATTAGGGGGGGGCACCTTGCACAGGAACAACTATGGCCAGTCTCAATCTTCAGTTCACATATGCTCACATGACGAACTGGCAACTGAACATCCACCAACAAAACCATTGAACTCAAGATCCCATGCAAACTATTCTCAGGTCCCATCTGTAAAAGAAATCATGCACCATAGTTCACCTCTTGTTTCTGATTATGGCTATCTCTGGTCTCTCTAAACCAGGATTATTTCCACCAGGATTCCACCAACTTATCCTCCAACTAACATACCTATAGACAATCCCCGTTTATAAATGACTCCAGCATGATTTAGCTCTAAAACTGGTGTTTTTGTTCCATAGCTACAGCTATGGCCTAACATACCAGTTATTAGTTATAAGAACAAACATAACCCCATTTACAGAATGTTTTTCTTTTTATATCCCATAGAAATCACCAGTTATCACCATCATTAATCACTATTAGCCACTATGAAAACCATTATTAACCACTATTAATCACCATAGAAATCATCAGTAAATAACTCATGGCCATGGCCATAACTGTATGTTGCTTGCCTTGTAACATGTCGATGTTGTTTCGCACCGAGACCACCTCCAAACCTCCAAAAAATGCTCGCCTCGGCCGCCATGGCACCAGCAACCTTGGCGACTTCGAAGCCTTCCGAGGCCTTTTGGTAGGCCACTTCCTGCGCAGGGTGGCCCAGCATCACCGGTTTGATCTCCCCTGGGAAAATCTTCATAATATATCATAATATATAAATAATATATCATAATCCATGTGTTTGGGAATTTCTATCTCTGATTGATTTTTAAAATGATTTTTGCATCGACTTCTTTTTTCGTTTGTGGGTGGTGACCTGCTTAGGGATTCCCAAACAAATGAATTACAAATGATGCATTATATGATCTATATTTCAAGTATATTATGCATTTTGTGAAGCTGTTCATTGATATGCTAATAAAGCTTACACACACACACGTGTAAGTAATCTACAATCACAAGGGTGAGCAAACGGTCCAGGCCACCAACTTCGGTTGTAAGTGCATGATGCAGATTGTGCCCGTGGCATGCAGCCGTTATATAGCTGAAGTTAAAAGTACCGCCTTCAAGCAGTGTTTTACCCAGAGGTGCATCACTACTTTGACTGTTTAACTGAACATTTCTTGGACTATAATCTCAGCAAAACCGTAATTATAGAAATATTTCATTAACTATAGAAATATTTCTGTTTAATAATCTCATTAACTATAGAAATATCTGCTGCAAACCGTAATTATTCGTCTCCCTCTCTCTCTCTCTCTCCATCGCTATCTCGGGAGATCAGCAGTCAAACTATGGTTATTCGTCGTTACATTAGTTATACATGAACAACTATTGGACACCGCATGGAAATTTCTCTGGACTAGCTATGTATCCAATATTCTTCGGTTCAACAAATCTCTTCATCCAGATCTGACCAGGCGTAGGGTCACGACATTGTCGCAGTCCTTGATCTGCTGCTGAACTGTAGGGTCCTGCCTGAAGAATGAAAAACGGCACCAAGGGACGACTTTCAAAAGGGTGATATCTACTTGGATTGGTTGTTGATTGAATGTATAATTTCTGGATAATATATGGGGTATATATATATATAACATAGGAGTTTGTATCTAGAATTTATAAAAATCACCCAAACAAAAACCATGTCTATACCTACTGTCTACTGTGTATCTATCTCTTCAAGTGTCCGTCTGTCGAACCATGTCTGCCCGTCCAGGAGAGATGCAAGCAACAGTTGATATACCAGGGCCCCATGGAAGCACAAACAGATTTGACAAAGTAAACAATTAGAGACATGGAAAGGAAAGGATTGCGTGGGGTGGAGTGGAAATGAAACTGATGCAAAATGATGCAAAACTCGAATGTTATCCAAAAAGAATTGGTAACATAGCAAGAACAATGGGAATAATTAGACTACACCAGCAACAGCACGAAACAAGAAGCAGCACAACCGTACAAATCGCCAACATAACTTACCCTCAAATAGGAAACACAAATTCTTAAAACAACACTGTTCCATGATTTGTCACCATCCCATTTTGCCAAAATGGCCAAAAAAAAGTGTATCCACAGAAGCTGTCATGGCAAATCATTTAATCACAATGAGTCCTGAAATGGTAAGGAACAAGTTTAGGGATGACCCATCTACTTACCATTAAGTCGTTAAAATGATTAGGTACTGTGGTAGGTGGTAGACCTAAATTACTTTACTTCGTGTGATCCCCACCATGACATTTATACATTTTCTTACTGGCAAATCTTCTGGCATTCTATCTGACATATCTTCTGACATTCTATTTGGCCTTCTATCTGGCATATGATCTGGCATATCTTCTGGCATATCTTCTGGCATTCTATCTGGCAAATCTTCTGGCATTCTATCTGGCATATCTTCTGGCATTCTATCTGACATATCTTCTGGCATTCTATCCGGCATTCTATCTGGCTATCTGGGCATATCTTCTGGCATATGGCATTCTGACATATCTGCTGGCATTCTATCTGGCATTCTATCTGGCATCTGGCTATCTTCTGGCATATCTGTTCTGGCATATATTCTGACATATCTCTCTGGCATTCTATCTGGCAAATGGAATCTGGCAATTCTGGCATATCTTCTGGCATATCTTCTGGCTATCTATTTTCTGGCATTCTATCTGGCATATCTCATGGCATTTTATCTGGCATTCTATCTGGCATTCTATCTGGCATTCTATCTGGCATATCTTCTGGCATATTATCTGGCATTCTATCTGGCATATCTTCTGGCATATCTTCTGGCATATCTTTGACATTCTTTCTGACATTCTTTCTAACTTTCTTCTGCACATTCTTTGTCCCATATCTTCCTACATGAGGTCCGGCAGGGAACACTTGGCGTGGATACTCGCAGTTGAGGTCCGGCAGGGAACACTGGGCGTGGATGGTCGTGGTTGAGGTCCGGCAGGGAACACTGGGCGTGGATGGTCGTGGTTGAGGTCCGGCAGAGAACACTGTGGATCGCGGGTCGCAGTTGAGCAGGAGGACGAGGAGGACGACGAGGACGACGAGGACGACAAGAGGACGACAAGGATGACAAGGAGGACGAGGAGGACGAGGAGGAGAGGAGGAGGAGGAGAGGAGGAGGAGAGGAGGACGAGGCAGGAGGAGGAGGAGGCAACTGACATAAAATCTAACAACCCTCACCTGGCAGGTGGGGAATTAAAAATCACAAAAAAACAACAACAATGTACTGTGGGCTCTGTTTGAAGTCGTTAAAATAATTTACGTGAATTGGAGGAGCATCCCCTAAGGAATTCGTAAGTGGGGTACAAGACACGAACACGAACAAGTCAGGCTCTGTGGGGTCATCCTCGGCATGATCAGTATTAAATAGCGGTTGGTTCAGAACGGGGTGCCAGTTCATGGATGTTCTCATCCCTATTCTGCATAGATAGATATATACATATATTATATATATATGTATATATAGAGAGAGAGGGAGACATAGATATGGTTATGAGTGGAAACCCTGGCACCCTAGTTACCCTGAAATAGTAATGGATGTTGAGTTTATTGCCCCAAATATGGTGCATGTAACAGGTGCATGTACCCATCCCCATATAGAACTCCCAAGGTGATGCTCCTGAGTTTCAAGACCAGCTATCTACTTGGGGCGCGCATCAGCTTCAAAAAGCAGGTTACAGGCAATATTGCACTGGGGTATACCCGATGTATAGATATGTGCCACTTAAAATTAAACACATAATATATTACACACATAATATATTTATATATATACAGATTCATCCATATAATATATATCCCAAAAATCGATAACTAGTACCACTACAACAGTGATAAATCATTATTTTATCTTTTTGGGATATACACATATCTATAGCTAGGATGCACATCCAAGTAGGGAGCAGCCAGCAGCGCCGCCCGCCATGTATAGCTGCCAAGACACAGTGCTGCCTCGGCCATCTGCTGAGAAACGCCTTGCTTTTGACAAAGGCAGGGCCAGGCAGGGCGGATGGATTAAAGCTTGGTGATGATGGACACATCAAAGACACATTATATGCAATGACATATTATATTGAGTAGTTAACTACTCATATATTTATAAACCCTCCATGTATCAATGTTTTTTGGCTAAACCGTCCAGTCAACAATCTTTATCTATTTACGCCCCTCCAATGTGGCCCCAGTTATGTGTGTTGATTTAGTGCCACCCCATGAATGAATCTGTTTTAAGCATCATGAACCATACTGGAATTGGAGTTGTTTCAACCAATTTAGCGATTTCGTTACAAATTATGGTCAGAACCAAGGTTGAAAAATTATAATAGAATATAATCCTAATACGTTTTCTCATGCTTAAATCCGATAAGTCCCACTATACACTCATGATATTCCATTATTCTTGGCTAAATCCCCCATTTCTGGCTGTAAATCCCTAACTCTTCATGGATAGATCCTATGAGCAAAGCCAGCTTCTACCGCCCTTCCGCCGCATGTCATCTCGCCTCCTCCATAGCTGTAGCCACCGCTACCGGTGCCACCGCCGTATCCCACCGTGGGTGGTGGGGCTGAGGCACCCCCGGACAAGTCAATCTTCGCACCTTGGAAAAGACGGCTGGAGGAGCCCACACGAATACACTGCAATATATTCTTTAACTATACAGTATCGAATGTGTATAAATCATATTATATATATAGAGTGTATACTGTATAGCATGTAAAATAAAAGAATATATTAAATATATATATATATATATGTGTGCGTGTCCTCTTTCTCCAGATCTCTGCAATTCTCTGCGTATATGAAAAAAAATATAGATTATAGATGAAACTGATGGAATTTTTCTGTTCATTTTGAATGGGGTTTTAAGTAATCGGAAGTGGAGCCACAGTGGGCAAATGACCTCTACGAGATGATTTGCTAACCAGGAAAGGCCCTGGAATGTCAACAAGTGGTTTAAATATGTTTAAATCTCTGGATGAAGACGTCTGGTTTTTACAAGTACCTGATAGTATTTGTATGACTTGATGGTGGGTTCAACCTCCCCTCAAATACATGGTCATCACCATCACCATCACCATCACCATCATCATCACATCATCATCATCATAATCATCATCGCCATCGTCATTGCCATCGCCATCGCCATTATAATCAACATCACCATCATCATCATCAACATGATCAACATGACCAACATCATCTTCATCATCATCATCACCATCATCATCCCCATCGCCATCGCCATCACCAACACCATCCCCATCCCCATCACCATCACCATCATCATCATCATCATCCCTGTTGTCATTCCAAAAACGGAAACATGTCTGAGAAATGTTCGACACCAACAACCAGTTCACCATCTAGTGATCAATCATGGCAAGACAGAACCCGCATGTTTATGCATGCATTTTTCAGAGAAACAACACATAATCAATGAATAAGCATGGAGGAATTTGCCGTCGCCACGCAACGGATTTTCGTAGAAAAAAATCAGCGAGCTCCAGTTGGTCCAGCCCCTCCTTGCCCCTTGATACCAAGCGGCCCGCCATCGCACCGGAAAACACCAACGGTCTCTTCACTACGGAGAGCCACGGAGAAAACCACCGGCAGCATCGAAAAAAAGGACCCAGTGTTTGATGTGCCAATGTGAAAATCAACGGGTGGCAAAAATCATATATTTATGGAGTACACAGTACACATCATATTAGTACATATTGTCTTACAGAATGCGGTTGCAAATACATGCACAAAAAAACGTCAGTTCAGGGGGCTGCGGAGCACCTACAATCAAATAAAGCTTGACACTGTGCTCCCTTGTGTAAATCTGAGAAACATATATATCATATTTCAGAATATTTCATATACAAGCGGTTGGAAGCGGTTACACCCCTAGTCACCCTAAACATGTAGCAAACTTGTTTCTTCAGTAAACTTAAAAATCAATGTTGTAGTAGATTCAGGATGATTCAGACCAATATGTCCACCCCCACATGGCCAAAGTTAGATCACCAGTATACAACATCAGCCAACAGAACCTGGCATCCCGAAACCACCAAATATCACATGGTTAATTATATATATTCAATTGATTGTGTCCATATTAACGGTTCTTTGACCCCACATTTGTAGATGATTTTCCCCACCTTTGCATCCCTAATCCCCGAACTGCACGGTAAGGACTTATACCACATGACAAACCTACAGTATTAAACCTGATCCCTAGGAATGAAAATTGTCACCAGAATTCAAGAATCCAGAATTCTGGCATCTCCAGACCCCCAAACGCTTCGGCAATTTGCATGCTTTTCTACAAGTATTCCAGGCCGAAAACATGTTTTCGGATGTATTCCACGATGGGCATCTGCACCGCCATCACCTAGGGTCACCAAGCCAAAAACATGGCCACAAAGTAGACGAAGTAGACACTAATATATGAGTTTAATAGGTTTAATATGGTTTCACCTGGGGATTGTTCCAGAACATGAGAATTATACTATCATGCGGTAAGCTCAATTCGTAACTCCTGGCTTCTGTTTTTTGATTGAGAATATGGCATGCCCATAGCTCTTTAATTCCCTTCTAACAGCTGGATAGTTAAAATATGTAAGATATCAATATTGTTCTGAATGGCGCAGACAGGGTGACCTTTTGATTACAGTACATGTTCCAGCTGTGAAATGTTTCCTGTTCAGGCTGACCTTGCCAACAGGAATTATCCATGGCATGTGCTTTATGATAATCCCCGATTGTCAAGTTAGGTGTGGTCTCTTCCCACAAACGTTGAATAATCCATAGTGCCATAGATCATTTGGGGTCCTTTTTCTGGTGCAACTGTGTTTTTATAATGCATTATGGAGGAGGGAGTCCACCAAATGATTCTACGTGTTCTACCTATTTCATCCTATTTCCCCAATGCTTCTACCATAGTTTTATGATTTTATAATGATCTGTAGTTTCATCTGCTAATGACTTACTGGTGCTTAGCAGGGAATGAGGGAATGATCCATAATCACTAGTAATAATCATCCCATTCCCCCATTCCCATCCATTCCCATCCATTCTCTACTAAGCACCAGTAAGTGATTCTTAGACCCCAAGAAGTTTCCCTGGCTGGGTCGAGCCCTGGGTCGAGCAGCAGGCACTTGGCGTGAAGCCGCAGGGGTGAAGCCGCGGTAGAACCTGGGATGTGCCGCGGCGCCGCGCCGTGCTCAGCAACGGCTTTGGTAACCATATATAGTTATACACCAATTGCAGGCCCCACAGCTTATGACGTTTGTTGGCATATATATATATACACATATGATTACATAAATGTATATGTGTATATATATATATATTAATACACATTTATATCTCTCTCTGTGAGCCCCATTAAGTAGTTCGATATATCATAAACCAAATAGTTATCCGATTCATTTTAACAACGCTTGAGATTACGAGCAAGGGGACGATCTTGTGCATGCCCTGGCCGATGAGGTGACTGCTTTTGTGAGCGTGTTTGAACTGTCTTAATCTTAATCTTAAGCCCTAACAAGTCTAATGTGCATTTGAGGAATTTGATTGGTTTCGACATGTTTTAACTTTAGCACGATTATATAATTACATCATTGATTGGTCATTGATTGGTTTTCGACCCACTCAAATCCATTTTAATACAGGGTATGATGGGAATGGTTTCCTCACTAACCAATTCATTCCTCTTGTGCGGTTAACACAGTAGAGGTCTCGCCAATTGGTAGAGGGCATTGAACCCACCGCATGAAAAGGGCTGAGCAACTTGTTGGCGGGAAACATCAGCTATATGAACCCATTTCTGTTAGTGATCTACCCAATGGTCTGGTGGGATAGAACCAGAGCCATTGATCCATATTGATGGTCCAGCACAAGCGTTCAACCATCAGCCAGGGCCTATGGCACACAAACTTACCCACGGCCAACCAAGCTTGGACTTTCCACAATCATGGATTTACAGTATATGGATCTATCATGTCCCAAGCAGCATGTCACCTTCAGTCAAGGCATGTCAAGGCACGCGCTCGGGCTTTCGTTTCGCAGCATGCTGCCCAGACCTCATTGCAAGACTTCGTTACGAAAAGTTTTAGGCTATGTGACGAGCCGTTCGTGTAGGTTCCAACCTTTTAGAAACTGAAATAGTCATCATAAATATTAGCAGAGTGAACATTTGACAGCCGAAACACAAAAAGGTCACATGCCCAAAGCGAGCACCTCACCAATCAAGTCTCCAATAGAAATCATGCCTTGCCATCCAAACAACAACGTGTTGCAGAAATCGGTGCTGATAGCGCTTTGACGGCAACTGAAATAGATCCACGACTGACTGCTTAGCACATGTTTTTACATGTTTAATATACCTGAGTCTGAGTGTTGAAGACACTGGCTGCAATGACTTATGATCTCCAAATCGAAGATGCGGCCATGTTTGCAAGAACCTCCCAAATCAAAAGTACTGGATGGACACCA